TCTCTTTAACCTGGAACATTCCAAAGGATTTGTTAAACTAATTTGGCTTACTTGATATGTTAACGGAGAGCATTGTCAAATAAATGTTCATACTAAGTTTTCTTTACAGTGTATTTATAAGATTGTGGCACTTGTAGATAAAGTCCATTCTGGTTCTCCAAAAAAAGAAAAAGATGGCCTCTCATGCCAGACTTGCTGTCCTAATGACCTTGTACCATGGCACCGGGGTGCTTCTGAATCCGAGAAATCAAGGTGAAAAAACTGGCAGTGTATTCAAGAAAGAGTTGGAGTTGAGGGAAAACCAAGACAGTCACTTGGTTCTTTCTGACTCCCTGACAAACCCTGTTTTTCTTGCTTTTTTTTTTTTTTTTTTTTAGTTTTGTTTTTTCACTCTTTCACCCACCATGAGGCATTTAAGATGACTCGAATTATAAACAGGCATCAGTGGTAAGGATTAAATAATAGTACAAAATGACTTACCCTGAGTGTCTAACCTGCTAGGTGCATAACCTTGGAAAAATTGTTTTTTGTTACAGAAGCTTCAGACCTCCTCCCTGGGGACCCCTTGAACACCCGCAGCCAGACTTCATGCCACTGCCACTTAGTGCGGGCTGTCAACACGCCCCAGTTATTGTTTGTACATTTCTGGGAGGGTTGAAGCCTTTCCCTGCCGAGAGGCTGATGCCCTCCCCGTGGCGAAGACACTTTTAAAAAGTGGGTTTCCCCCTTGGGGCACATCTTCTGTGATCTCCAGGGACCAAGTCTCCTATTTTAGTGGGCAAGTAATAGGCGCCTGAAGGAAAACCTTGCAAACTTTTTGGGATTCTCTCAGTGCACAACCTTCTGCTGATCCTTTCTGTCCTATGCTAGCCTGTCCAGAGGGTGTGTGTCTACCCTGTCTTCTGCTCAAGCCTGTCACCACCAGGTTACGGAAGCCTTCTTAGATCACAGTGCAAAGGATCCTGTTGGTCACAGTTTAAAGCCTGGGGACTAGGTATTTTAGACACGTCATCAGAGGAAGACAGCCCTCGAACCCCCAGTAGAAGAGGGACCTTACCGAGTGCTCCTGCTGTAACTCTAAAGGTATGGAGCCTCGGGCACACATCACACCAGTACCCTTTCCATCTGACGCCAGGTCCTGCCCAGACGCTGGACGTTTCTGAATCAGATGGAGACAAAGTGAGGTAGCTCACCAATGCACGATGATAAGAGATTTTTATTTATCGTTTTTAAAGTTTTTGTTGGAATTCCAGTTAGTTCTCTTGTAGTGCTATATTAGTTCCAGATGCGCAGTATGGTGACCAAAGCCACTGCATGGAAAAGAAAGACATTTAAGGCATTTTAAAGTCAGCTTTTGAGAATATTTTAACATTTAACGTAATTATACTAACAGTTTCCTTCTTGGGATTTACCTGACAGTTTATACCTCAAACCCATCCTTTTAAGAGTGACAAAATTAGATTGTGTGGAAGGTATACAATTGCACACCTGAACCACGTGTGTAGGGACAAGGACACATTTGAACAGAAAAAGGATAAATCAAAACAACCTCATGACTCTCTGCATCCACCGGTCAATGATCTTTGTAAAAAAATTTTTTTTTTTTATTTTTTTTAATTTTTTTTTTTTTCAACGTTTATTTATTTTTGGGACAGAGAGAGACAGAGCATGAACGGGGGAGGGGCAGAGAGAGAGGGAGACACAGAATCGGAAACAGGCTCCAGGCTCCGAGCCATCAGCCCAGAGCCCGACGCGGGGCTCGAACTCACGGACCGCGAGATCGTGACCTGGCTGAAGTCGGACGCTTAACCGACTGCGCCACCCAGGCGCCCCTGTAAAAAAATTTTTAACGTTTATTCATTTTTTGAGAGACAGAGAGACCCAGAGCGTGAGTGGGGGAGGGGCAGAGACAGAGGGAGACACAGAATCCGAAGCAGGTTCCAGGTTCTGAGCTGTCAGCACAGCGCCTGACGTGGGGCTTGAACTCACAGATGTGAGACCATGACCTGATTCAAAGTCGAACGCTTAACCGACGGAGCCACCCAGGTGCCCCACGGTCAATATACTTTTTAAGGAATTTTGTCTTTGTATGTATGTTGGATGTTTTTTATTTTGGTTGTTTGTTTTTGTATTGTTTTGTTTTTACACTCTATATAAATACAACCCTCATCTCATGTTTTATGTATTCAGGCAGCTATCGATGTGACTTGCCTATCATCCTATCCCTGCAGTAAGTACACCCAGATCCTGAGCTTCCGTAATAAATGGTCAGTTGGTAAAAGTAACGAGGGTATCCGGAAGAGATGATATATGAGAGTCCACGATGGTGGACTTAGGTTTGATTTGTATGGATTGTTGTACAAGGGACGTTCCACATGCTGTAGCTCATCTAACCCCCCACCTCCGACCCTGAGTGCCGGCTCTGCCCGTCACTGGTATGATTCTCAGCAAGGTACTTATTGACTCTAAATCCTATTTCCTTACGCGTAACATGGAGTCCTCCAAATCCAGCTCATGTCAGTGTCACCAGGATCAGATGAGATAACGCACGTGAACTTTCACAGAGTGCCTGGCACAGGAATAACCATCTAAGGGTACTGGCTTTCATTAGCCTTGTTGTCATGTCCACAAACACCTCCACTCTAGAAAATCATGTGCGGGACTTGAGGTTATTGGGGTGTGCGTGATTTGGAAAAGTAAGGCTGCTTCCGTTTTTACATGGGAAATTGACCTACACCAGCCTCCTTCCAACGTGTAAGATTCTGCTGTGGATTCTCGGGTTGGACGATATCGTTTTGGTGGCCACGCTTCATGTGAGTGGTGTGTGCTCAGGACTTTACAGCAGCCACTGTTTCTGGATGTTTTTCCATTCAACAAGTATTTACAGAACACCTACTTTGCCACAGGCACTGTGCTGGAAGCTGTGAGGACAGAGGGAAAACAAGATATAGTCTTAGATATTACTCCCCAGTTGTGAGGAAGAAAGAAAAAAAATTCATGAACTTCAACATCTTCCTGCACAGAAATACAGTATATGAATTGATCTACAAAGAATTACAAGGAACCAGAGCTCCTATTTGTAATGGTTCTTTCTTATCTGTTGACAGATTCTATCTATCTGTGTATCTACCTATCTGTGTGGTCTCTATTACTTCATCTCTCATCTCTTCTATCATCTATCTATCTATCTATCTATCCATCCATCAAACCATCCACAGTACAGACACGAGTCAAATAATGGATATGAACAACAGAATAATACTTGCTTACTTTTGTTGCCAGCCGTTAACTACACAAAAGCTTCTCTGAAAGATGAAAACGGTAAGTTTTGTACTTGTTTCCTGTATGTTAGGCTATAGCATTGTTTCCTTCCGATCAACTTAACTTTTGAACTTCTCTGGCTTCGGGTAGAAGCCTCACAATGGCAGGATCTTGCAAAATAGACTGAGTGGTAATTTAAGTCAGTCCATCATTTCTCAGGAGTCGTCTTCACACAGTAACTGCTGGCTTGGGAAGGAGAGGCCTGTAAAGTAAGTGCAGAGGGGCTCTGACGTCTGTTAACAATGCACTTCATGCATTTCTGTGGCCTTTGTTTCTACTAACTGAGGAAAATATGCTGTTGCTTTAGATTTTTTTTTTAAGTCTCTATTCTTGCTGGTACTAGTAAATGATGATGAGAGGTGTCCTTAAGGCAAAAGGCATTGTGTTACTGTCAGTGCATTTGTTGAATTCTCCTCTACCCCTCACTGTGAGTATTTATCTCCATTTTGTCTCTGAGGACAAGGGAGCTGGAGATTAACTACGCCCCTTATCATGCCACATGAGATCCTCAAGCCGCCTCTGAAAAGGCTAGCTGAATCAAGACTTCATGCACTTACTCAGGTTTCATTCTTCCTCTACATCCCAAACCCAAGGCTCTGAGACAGGCTGCACACCTGGGTGGTGGGATGGCAGGACTGCTGCAGTCAGTAGAATCCAGACTTACACCCCACCCATCATTTATTTGCAGGAATAGGGTTAGCTTATTTACATTTTCTGAGCCAACCACAAATGACACAAATAACACCCAGCTCAGTTATGGAAAACATAAGGCCCCGCATGTGGAATGTCTAGCTTAGGGTATCTCATTTAGCTGCTACATAATAAGACTTGTGAGTACATTCTAAGTATAAGTAGTAGTTCCTAGCTCTTTCTCCACACATATGCACAAAGGAAATGATGAAGACCATTGGCTCTAGTCCTGCTGATTTGTCCTCATGTCCAATATCAAGGGGCTCCTGGACTCTGGCTACTCGTCATCATCTTCCTTATCATCATCCAACTTTACATTTATCCATAATCATTGGGTGTCTTGGGTATTCATTGCATGTAGAGATCCAGGATTACAGAGTAGCTGAGAATGCGTCCTGAAACACCAGGTTGCTGAGATTGAAATCTGGCCTCTCGTACTTACTAGTTGCATGAAATCAGGCAAGTTGCTTCTCTCTCTGTCCTCAATTTATGTGAGAATGGGAATGAAAATAATAACCTCATCTGTTATTAAAAATTAAATACAATTAGGGCTTCACATGCACAGTTCTGAAGTAACATTTAAGTTGTGGTTAATGGATATTGCCTATTATTCTTACCTGGGGACATGGGGGAATGAAGAAATGCTAGAAGCTATTTATCACCAATGCTTGTTTTTCCCCATTGGACTCATTCATTCTAAACACAACCTATTTTTTAATACTTTGGAATGTTCTAAGTGAATTTGAAAGGTTTTTTTTAAATTTTGTTTTTGTTTTTGTTTTTTTACTAACTTGGTCTGCGAACCGGATTCTGAGTAGTCTTGGGGGTGGTGTTAGTGGTGATGGTGGTGTAGATGTTTACTCTCCAGTTGTACCGGTGAGAGAGTCACTTCAACCCAGGACATCAGAAATGTGTGTTGTGACCCAGCTCCCAAACTAAGTCCTCGCCTTTCCAAAGAACAGGTGAAACTAACTGATGGCTTCTTTTAGACCCCCGGCAGGTGCAGCTCGCGAACACCTCTGCCTACTACACGTACGTCGTCCTCGTCGTCAAGAGCATGGTCTACACCGTCATCATCGCCATCTGTCTGCTTGGGAGACCAGCACTCTGTGACAATGGGAAGAGTTTCTAACCCATGGTGGCACCAAGGGTCCACTTTACTCCTTGACTATTGTCACTAAAAGAGTCTGTTGAGGATCTAGAGGGGCTTTCTCTCTGCATTTGGGTTATTTCAGTTCACATGTTTCTTTTTCTATGTGTCATCATTGCAGAACAGGTTTACAAACCGCTAGGCAGACAGGAAATGTCACTCTGCATGGAGAACAATTTCTGCCATGACTCAGGGATGGGGCCGGGGGGCATCCACGGGGGCTTCAGTACCTCTCTATCCTTCACGTCCACCAGCTCATCAGCAGCACAGCACCCTCGCCTCTGAGTACACTTGGTGTGCAGCTTCCATAGAGCTCCTGGGGCTCTGTATCCAGATAACTTCCTGGAGGCCTTTTATTTTACATTTCTGGAAGCTGCCATCTTTGCTACCTGAGTTTTGTTATGTTTTTCATAATAGGCACAATAAAAACAATCACAAGTCTCCTTTTGCCTCTGTGGACATTCATTTGTTGAGATCTGAGTACAAGGTAAGGGACAGCATCACAACTGAGCCTTCACATTCAGCGTTGATGTAATAATGGTCAATTCCACATTTCTAACTCTTTCCCTGAGAGAGTCCTTGTTCCGGTTAGGGTTCTTTGGGGCACTGGCCCCTGGGGAGCCCCAGCCAGTGAAGGTGCCCAAGTTATTTGTCCTTCCAAGTCAGCAGATTCAGACTCATTTGTTTTAAGATGCTCTGCTGGTGACAGGATCACAAGTCTCGTGACTGGCAGATGTGTTCAAACTTGTACCCGTATTTCATGGGCACCATGTTTCCTGAGAGCTGTACCAACTCTGGAAAGGGAGGGTGGTGGAGAGGTTAAGTGCATGGACTCTGAACTCCAAGTGCTTGGGCTTAAATCTTGGGTCTATAGCTATTTGAACTCTCTGAGCCATAATTTTCTCATTCTAAAATGGAGTTACAGTGACCTGTCTCCTAGGTTGTGTGGACGACATAATTATGCTGGGCACATGCAAGTCCCCAACAGCATCAGCATCCACTGTTGGCAGCTCTAGTTTAGAAAAAATCAAGAACGCACATGCACACGCACACATGCTAACAAGTATGACACTCATTTCTATGTGTGTGTGTATTGCTACAAACATGGATGCAAAACAAAACGTTCAGGGTGTGGTAGGTGGGGAAAAATGAGTGATTGTATATGTTCTGTTTTCATTAGTGAATGCATTTAAAGCAAAAATGTTTATATATTAGAATGAAAACAATGTCTCATTTCAAACTGGGGAGGATTTTTGTTTATTTACAATCAGCTTCTGCTTGGTGGGACAGGAGCTTTCTGAAGCAAGTAGAGATTCCCACGTGGAACCTACGTAAGACCCACCAGATACAAGGAAGCGAAAATTTAATTTTGATCTACTCCTTGAGTCTCAAGAATTTGATCAGACCTCCTTAGGACAAAGTCTCTACATAGAGATCTGGAACTGATCTGGAACTGATCTGGAACTGTTTCTGCATGTGGAAAGCACGGAGGCAAAGGGGAAACTAGCAAATGACCCAGAGCCGTGTGGGCTGATTTCAGTGCTGGGCACTCCTAGCCAGTGTCCCCCATGGCTTCCAATCCTCAACCCCTCCCTTCCCCAACCGGACCTGGGCAGCCCTGCGGGCTCTGCTCTGCACTGGCAGGTGCAGACAGGGGGAGGGCAGTGGTGCAGGGGACAGTGTGGGGGGCAGGAAGGGGCTGGTGTTTTGTTTTCTCAGGGTTTTTCTGGTCTATTTGCTCTATCAAATGTGGTTGATTCGTGGAAAAGGCTTGAAGTCAAACCGGCCCCTACTGGTTGGGGCTGTGCAAGTGGTGGCTGGGGTGCTGCATGATAAATTAAGGGCAGTTAAACCACAGCCAACTTTGCTCACTTCCAAAAGGTCACAGCTGATGAAAGAAAAATCCATCTGCACACACGCATATAATTGCTGCCGAAGATATTCTTATTCCGTGGTGAAGGGTCCCTATTTTATACCAAGTTCATTCCAAGCAGCTGCTACCTGAGTTGGGAGCCTTATGACCCGGACTGTTGAGCCGCTGTACTTTAGTCCTCTCTGATGACACTGTTCTGAAGGAAGCAGAATGCAGACTTCTTGTAGCCCTAGCCAATCCTGATATTCCACGAAGAATCTGCACTTTTTAATGGCATGTGATTTACTGAAACCCATGTCTTTTAGTCTCATTTCTCGGTGTAGACAGGCTGACACAAGACCTGTGCCCATGAATCTACTAGCACAGGTAGGCTGTAGATGTTCAACAGAGAGGTGCTTCTTTCATCACAAGAACACAGACATATGCAGGTGCTGAGTCAAGTGTATAATTGAATGTTGACTCATCCAAGTCCCTCTACAGGACAAATGACTGTAGAGTCAAGCTTAATTCGAGCAAGCTTAATAGAAGACAGGCACATCAGCTAGATGGGATGGGGGTCCAGCAGAGGAAGGCTGTTCAGCAATGTGAACACAAAGAGCAAGTGTCCCCACCCCTGCTCCACTGGAACATGGTACAGAGAGGGTACCCAGTCCTGAGACCCAACCTGACAAGTCCCTGGGGAAACAAAACTCTATTGTGGACGTCAGTGCTTTAGGCTTTCAAGGTTTGACTTCACAGAACATCTCACCATAGATTTCATTCCTCTTCTTCTGTGCTTGGGCGCTAACCTCTGGGTGAGCCTTGGCTTCCATGAACATGGGCCACATACTACTGGTTCAGCTTAGCCTGTGCGGGACTGAGCTCTGTCTCAGGATAAATTATACACTGACATGCAGCATAGGCATCTGTTGGCCTGTTATATATGAGACTCCACTCCTGAGACAGGAAAATCTAAATGTGACTATACCACTGAGTTGTTTAGATTGAGTCCAAATTCTAGAATCTGCAGACCCTCCTCCCCTTTTCTCCACCATAAAAAGCTCTTTCTGGTTAGGCCTCAGGGTTCCACACCCTTTCTGGTGGCACTTCTGTCATTTGGTTCATTCTCAGAACAAACACAGATGGAGTTGATCTGACCTGCACAATGCACATTTGACCCTGTCATTACATTCCATAGTTATTTCCTCAGGAAACATCTCTGACACAAGAATACTTGTTTTCCATTACGTACATTTTCCCTCTAAATATTAGAGAAAACTTTAAACGTCTGAGAGCAGAAAAATATGTTAAATAATTATTTTATTTCCGTGAAATATTCTATATCCACTTAAAATTATATTTATATCATTTATACATCACAGAAAATTATTCACTTAGGAAGGAAAATCAAATATGCAATAAAAAATGATATATTGCATAGGAATATATTTATAAAAATAAAAACATAAATACGTCCATGCAAATCAGAAAGACAAGAAGAAAATAACCAAATGGCTTCAAGCATGTCTGCATATTCCAAAGTTTCTGCAATAAAGTGACTGTATTCTTTTTAAATTATCATTTTTAAAACAACGTATACATATATTGGCAGTATGGCCACCATAATGGGAAATTACAAACAAAAAATGAGCAGGGGAAAAAAATGAAACTGTCAACATGGGTGTAGCTGAATATTTCGAAGGGCAGTCTGTGATTGTTCTACAAACACTTTTACAGAAAGTATGTATTAGTCTCAAAGTCAGGGAAGATAAAAAAAAAAAAAAGTTGTCATGAGAAACCAAGGTACAGGTTAGGGATAGATCCTCCTCATGCACAAAGGAAGCAGCCTGCCTTACAGCTGCTTTCCTCTTGTCAGATAAGACACCTCAAACAACACATTTTTTTTTTTTTCTTCTGAGAGTGTCTGCCTGCTTTAGAGCCAAGAACAAATCTGGCACAGGAGAATGAACAGAATCTAAAGAAAAGATTGCGTCCCACATCTTAACCTCATACATGTCACACAGTTCAGGTGACATTTGTGGTGACATAAATAGATAAAGGTATGGCTGTTGGAAGCCTTCACTTTCCAGCCTCTTGAATGGCTGTAGACACACAGGGGCAGATGAAATGCCTTCCCACTTGGACACGAGCCCGGGGAAGATGGTCATGACACGTGTTCCTGTTTGTGCGTTACTCTCCACCTGTCAGCTTAATGGCACTTGAGCCCCAATTCTGATGTCTTGGAATTACTTGAGAGTCCTAAATAAAGCCAAACGTTTAATTAAAATGTATGCTTTGCATAACCGAAAAGTGAATGTAAGCCAGGTCTTTTAGCTACGGCCAACAAATCATCTCCTTGGACACCAACTGCAAACTGGACTAGGTCAACAAAGACCATTTCTGTGGTTGGAAAATGTCCAAATTCATGTAACAATCTGAGACGTTTTTATGCTGAAAAGCTGCAGATCAGGGAACAACAGTGGCGCACTGGTCTAGAGGGACTCCCATTCCTCTCCCCGCCTGCCAACACCCGGTTCCATGGGCATGAAGGTTCTTCCAAGATGGGATAGGCCATGAGGACTGGCAGCAAATCCCACAGTGTAAGGGAACTCAGATAATTTGGGATGGGGAGTGATGTGAGGATGAATCGAGAGACTCAGTGGTGTGCAGGCAGGAAGGCAGGGGCTGTGCTGGCCTGAGGTTGAGGTCATGGCTGCAGCAAGCGTGTGCTTGGCTGAAGCTGTGTGCCTGCTTAGCAGAGACCCGAAAGAGTACAAGCCAGCCACAGACTCTTGTGTGACCCTGAGGTGATGGGCATATGCAGAGGAGCTGTGAAAATACTCAACAAAAATTTTAAGCCGGGAAGACTTATACTTTTGCACATAAAGTCTATGTGCTAATTGCCTAAAATATGAATATGCTACCCAATCTATACAAAATAAACATTTGGTAAGGGTCACAGTCTTAAGGTGCTTGAACACAATCCCTAGTTAATCTTGGCTACGACTAAGCTATGTAGACAAAGGTGTGATCTCTAGGAAGATAGGCTACAAAATAAAATAAAAGAAAACAAGAGAGTCATGAGCAATCATATACGGCAGGGGATATAATATCACAGATTTAGTCCAAGCAACTCACTGAGCCTACAAAACAAACTTTTGTGGAAAAAGGAGTTCATGCAATATATTTTCAGCAGCATAGTTTTCAATAAAAAAATACGAAGACAGGCAAAGAATCAGAAAAGTGTGACTATTCTTAGGAGGAAAAGCCCCCACAACTCAACACACACTGTCCTTGAGTGTGTCCAGATATTTTCTTTAACAAAGACTTCAAAGCAGCTATTACAAATTGTGTTCAAGAAAAAAAAAAAAAAAACCCTCTAGAAATCCATGCTTAAAGAAATAAAGGACAATATGACAACAAAAAGTCAACAAAGTTATTCTAATGACAGATACCCAAATTACAGAACAGAACATATGTTTAAAATAAATAAAATCTATAATCGAAACTTTTTATACCTGAAGTGAAATATTTGCTAGAGAGCTTTAAATTGAGAGAGCAGAAGAAACCATCTCAGTGCGAGGGAACTTGTTCCACCTAATAAAGGGCATCTCTGAAAACCCATATGTAATCATATGTAATGTTGACAGACTGAATGCTTTCCCCCCAAGACTAGGAACAAGACAAAGATGTCTGCTCTTGTCACTTCTAGTCCACATGGTATTGAAGTTTCTAGACAGTGCAACTCAGTCAAGTAAAGATCTCTATCAGATTGAAAAGGAAATACAAAAATGTATCCACAGATGACATGATCCTGTAGGCGAGTATTCCCATGGAACCTACACGCACACAAAACCAAAACTACACTTCGTAAACAAGGTTAGCATCATCACAAGGTACACACTCAAAGTACAGACTATCAGTTGTATTTCTATGTACTAACAGGCAAAATTGAAACTGAAACTGACGAAAGAATTCCTTTTGCAATAGAACCAAAAATAATAACACATTTAGGAATCAATTTCACAAAAGACGAGCAAATCTTTTTTGTTGATAAATATAAAAGAAGGTAGAGAAGAAATTAAAAATATCAGAAGGAGCAGCACAGAGGAGCAGTGAGCCTAATTGACAGACGGATGGACAGACACGGATTGATGGGAATGGGATGCCGTTTATATAAATGTAAAGATGTGTTATTCAGAGCAAATCTCAGGGCGTCGGGTGGCTCAGTTGGTTAAGTGTCTCACTCTTGATTTCGGTTTAGGTCATGATCTCACAGTGGGTGAGACTGAGCCCCATGTAGGGTTCTGCACTGACAGCACAGAACCTGTTGCGGGTTCTCTCTCTGCTCCTCCTCTGCTCGTGCTCACTCTCTCCCTCCCTCTAGCAAAATAAATTAAAACTTAAAAAAAAGAAACAACCACATTTCTATAGTTTTCACAGGTACACAAGACACTAAACATATCAGTCAATCCTCTCATTGAGGCTGAAAAAACAAAACAAAACAAAGAAACAAAACGGCTTCCAAGAAGGACCCATTTACCTACAATTCCCAAACACAGTGAGTACACAACTGGAAAAACAAGTTTCCTGCCAAGTATTTCTGGACTCTTCCACTGACCAGGCTGGGTCTTTCCTGTAACAGACTTCACTTCTCTGGGCTCCAGCAAGAATTATAAGGTGTATGACATACCTGTAATGGCCAGGAGGGGGCGCGAGAAGTCAGAGTAAGTACCAAGCAAACTACCTTAGTTTTTAAGCACAATATTGAAAACAAATGGTTAAGTATAACAACACCACGTTTTGCATTCAAAGCAACAGCTCAATGAGGACAGAAATTAATCCCTGAATCACAAACATCCAAGCAGGTTACCTGGGGCACGTACTTCCTTAACCTGAAGGTCTTGAAGTTAGTTCTTGCTGTGCTCTTAGCTAGACAATCTCAAGTACGTTACTTACCCTCCCTAAGCCTCTGTCTCATCTGCAGAATGGGATGAAGAACCCCTACTTTATGCAAGGAAGGAATCAAGATGTACAATGCTTGACATTGAATAAAGTATTTGCTGGATTAATGATTTTTCTGTTATGGCCTTTAAAAAATAGTCTCTCATGGGGCTCCTGGGTGGCTCAGTCAGTTAAGCATCCAACTTCGGCTCAGGTCACTATCTTGCGGTTTGTGGGTTCGAGCCCCGCGTCAGGCTCTGTGCTGACAGCTCAGAACCAGGAAGCTGCTACAGATTCTGTGTCTCCCTCTCTCTGTTCCCTTCCCCGCTCACACTCTCTCTCTCTCAAAAATTAATAAACATAAAAATAGTCTCTCACAAAAGGTAAGCAACTATTAATTCACAAGTGATAGAAGAATTTCTACTACATTTGACGTCCCGCACTAATAACGACTCTTCAAGAATAGCTTATGTTCTTTGCTTATTGGCACGTGAGAGATAGTCTTGAGTTCTGCTATCATTCTGAAATTTCCTCCTGGCTCCTTACTCTTTAGAGCTTCAAAGTAACTCTATATATATGTTGAATTCTACGTGTAGAAAATGGATGGTGTGATGGGTTTTGGAATTTCATAGACTTGGGTTTGAATCAAGGCTCCATTATTTATGTGATTCTGAGCAGCTGAAACATTTTAAGATTCCAGTTAGTTGATCTGTCAAATGTGGTTGGTATAACTACTTTGACACGTTATTATGAGGAACAAGTGGGTATAAGGACTACATTGTACTTAAAACTGACTGATCTCATTTATTTACAAAGCAACCAACTTGGCCAAATCCCAGACCCAGGCTAGATGAAGTCTCCAGAGTAGGAATTGTTATTCCCATTTACAGTGACTTTCCGAAGGACACACATCCTCCAAGTGGCAGGGCTTGGACTGGAGCTGTCATTCTGTCCTTGTCAATGTAATAAATCTTCACAGACTCAGGAGGTGTCATTCAGAGCTTTCAAATGTCCCTGTTGGACAGCTCCATGCTGAGAAGGACCTCTCCCCTCAGCCACCATGTGTCAGATCACAGCGTCGGCCTCCCAGAGAGCTGGGGCCCCCGGCTAGACCCCACGACTGGACTGCTCACCAGACAAGCGGGTCTGGAAGGCTGGCCACATATGGAGGCGTCTGAACGGGCAGGTCCCTGCAGACCGCGTGCACCTGGCAGCCACGGAGCCCGTGGGAAAGGCAGGCAGGATGTGGAGCTTTGGCTGAGGTTTCCGGGCTGCCCTCAACTCTTCTGGAAAGTGCCCTGGCCCAGCCCCGCCCCGGCACCAGCAGGGGATGGGGCTGCTTTCTGGGAAGCTGCAGGCGGCCCCGAGCAGCACCGGGCCCGGGAGAGTGAACTGGGCCCTAGTGAGGCTTCCTCTCTCCCCCACTGTCAGCCCCTGTTTTATTCCAGTGTGTTCAGTAGTCATTTGCATAGTCACATTCCCATCCATGTCCCAGCCCAGAAACCCCTGGGTAGCTCAGTTGGTTGAGTGTCTGTCTTCGGGCTCAGGTCATGATCTCACAGTTTGTGCGTTCGAGTCCCACATCAGGCTCTCTGCTGTCTGCGCAGAGCCCAATTAAGATCTTTTGTCCCCCCCTCTCTGCCCCTCCCCTGCTCATACTTTTTTTCTTAAATACAATGAATACACATTAAAAAAAAATTGTATATTTGCATTTTCCCCTTGCACTGACCTCTTGGTTGGTGACACTGTCAACATGAATTTTAAAATATAAATATAAATAAATTATAATACCACTAATAATGCTAGGCCCAGAGGATATAATTTTTTTTAATGTTGATTTATTTTTGGGAGAGAGAGAGAGAGAAAGAGAGAGAGCACGAGCAGGGGAGGGGCAGACACAGAATCCGAAGCAGGCTCCAGGCTCTGAGCTGTCAGCACAGAACCCAACGTGGGGCTTGAACTCACGAGGCGTGAGATCATGACTTGAGCTGAAGTCAGACGCTTAACCAACTCAGCCACCCAGACGCCCCTAGGTCCAGAGGATATAAACGAAGATCTTTTTTCATTCTCACCCTCTCCCCACTCCCCCCTGCCAGGACACGTTGCGCTCCACAAATAAACGCTCGTGTCAATACTGTGCTCTTTTCTGTGCCGTAGTTTTATAGTTTCTTTAACATTCGTGGGGAGATTTCTCTTGTTAGTTTTTTTGTTTAAGAATTCTCTTTCCATTCTAGTGTGATGGCAGTTTTATATTTTCTTAAGTGTCAACCATGACACGTCTGTCCCAGCAAGGATTTTCTGGGACCATGACACTCATGCTTGTCTGGGACAGTCTACTCTCGGAGCTGCTCCTGTGACAGCCTCGCATCCCCTGCACGTGGTCCCCGAGCAGAGGATGGTCAGCCAGAGTCCTTGCCCTTCTTCCCTTCCGAGCTTCTGTGATGACACCTGTTATTGTACTCTTTTACAGAGTAGCAATTCTAGCATATACGGGGCGACATCTCATTTAATCGAGTGATCAGTGCGGTGCTCAGGTGTAGTCCATTTCCAATGAAGGGATTACTATCATTGCTGGTGCTCTTGCTCCACCATTTCTCAGCACCTGACCATTGATGGTTCCTCTCCCCCTTGTGGTCAGATCTGACTCTGCCCTCAGGTCCCTCCCACTTTCCCACCTCTCTCTCCCCAGTACCTGCAGGCACCTAAGGGACACAGAGCTCAGACCCTAACCTGCCCTCTGCCACCCACCCAGTCAGTCTCCTTCCAGCAGGTGCAGCCGGGAAGTCATCCTGGGCTTCTCTCCACAGGTGGGAAGCAGAACCATGCTGGGTCCCCTCGCCTTCCTGTGCGCCCTCCTGTTTCCCGGTAAGTCCTGATTCCCTCCCCGGTGCGGGTGCGTGGGACGCCCTGAGGTTCCCAGCCTTCCTGTCTCACCTCTGTCCCCCTCGCAGGCAGCTGGGCAGCGATCAGCCTGGGGCAGCCCTCTATGGTCGTGGCGCAGGCAGGCCACTCAGCCACTCTGTGGTGCAAAGCCAGCACCTCGGTCAGCTACATCCACTGGTACCACCACCAGGAAGGTGCGGCCCCCAAGAGGCTCCTCACACTGGACATGTCTGGAACGTTTGTGCAGAGAGATGGGGGCCTGAAAGCGGACAAAGTCAATGCCAAGAGGGGCAAGGGTAGCAACAGCTGTGACCTGTCCGTGCTGAAGCTGGAGAAGAGCGACGAGGGCGTGTACTACTGTGCTGCCTGGGAAGCTCACAGCTGCACGTGCTGCTCCACTCCCTGAGCAAAAAGGTTTCTGATTCCTCGGTCCCTGCCTGCCTGGCACCTTCCACTTGCTCTGGATCCCTGGGGTTGCCCTGAGTCAGCCCTCAGCACCCCTGGCTGTTATGGACAGGCCATTTAAGATTCTGACCACATCCCCTGAAGAATGTGGGAATAAAATATCGTGCAAATAATTTCAAGGCCGAGAGACTCTCTGGGGATTCCGCACAAAATGGGTGCAAGCCGAGACTGGAAGGCAGCTCCTGACTCCAGTTTCTAAGTTGCCGCCCCGCCCACCGCTGGTTCCTGTGCAGAGAGAGAGACTCCTTGATCAGAAGCCCAAGAAACAGTGTGGCTAACTTCGCAGCACCCTCGCCCAAGCCTGGCGCTCACTCTCCTGCGGGGGAAATGATCCTCAGGGCAGGTGCACGCATCAGCCCTGGACGAGACCCCGGGCCCTCCGCCTTCCCCGTCTCCTTGAAAGTGACTCCATATGGGATTTGGGGACCAGCTTCCCTGGACCTCTGTTCTCTCCTCTGTAAAGTGAGGAGGTTTAACTGCTACAATGTGTGACTGATTTTTGTATTAAAGAAAAATTATACCAAAAATATATCACTATGTTCACTAACTTCTTATAAAATTAGTCAACTTCTTGACAAGAAGAGGAAGGAAGAGGAGGAAGAGGAGAAGAAGAAGAAAAAGAAAGTAAGAAAGAAAAGAAAAAAGAAAAGAAAAACTATGTTACTGATCCCCCCACCCCAAACAGGAAAGCCCCTGCTGCTGTGTGTGTGTCGGGGGGGGGGGGGGGGGGGGGGGGAAGAAAAAGCTCTCTGAGGAGGTCTAAGCTGAATTAAATACATTTTTAGTTGAAAATTCAAACTTTATGAAATTTCAGTTAAAATTTCAAATTTTTTTGGTAAAAATGATTACTGAAAGTCTAATGATCCTCAGTTTCACTAACTCCTCCTCTATCTCGCTGAGCTTCTGTTTTGTGGATGGAGATTTGTATTTAGGACGCGCCTGCCCATGAAAGAGTCCAACCAACAGTTAGTGCAAGATGTCATCAATGAACAGAAACCAGGAATGAGATGGTCTCCAGTAGAATTTCCCAGAGCGTTGTGCACAATTTCCTTCAGCAAGATTGTTTGGCCCTTTTATTGCCTGAAAACATGACCCACTTCATTTCATGAAAGATTGCTAGAAAATCAGCCCCATGTGTTCTTTACCTGGAAACTGAGAAAAAGATAGACTTTCAATAGGACTCTGTGTGTCCCCTTCTTTGGGGGCACAGATTTCTCTTCCAGTCAAAAATCAAGCACGGATGATGGGCCGTAAAGTGTGGATTCTGCCAAAAATTCTGTTTTAGCCCCAGGATCCATGCTTCATGTTCTCTCCACCCCGCCTTGTGCACCAGGAGACTAACCCCTATGGGTCACACTAATGGGCATCTTTGCTTGATCCATTGAATGCTGGCCAATGGAAGTTGAAGTTCAAAGAACCATCACCATGTCCCCTGACAAAAGCATTCCTTCTTGGGGACCAGATTTCCAAGCCTGTGGATCCAGAGACCAGGGAGAAAAGAAAGAAATTCCTCCAGTGGGTTAATTGGTATAAAAGGAAATGGCCACTCTCACCTATACCTCTTGGGTCCCGAGCACAAATTCTCTCTCTGGGGTAGATGGCCCTATATGTTGGGCCCAGGGGAAGGTGCAGCCAACCCAAGGCCACCTGTCATGGAGGGAACCCTGAGCTCACTCTGCTCCCAACTCCCAGCCTCCTCCTGATGTTTCCATTGACTGCTTCCAAACAGTAACCAAAGAATAAAGAAGACCATCCATGCGGTCCATGAGGGTCCAGCCTGGGGCAAGGTAAAGAGAGGTAGACCATCCATCTGGAGGAGCAAAAGAATGAAATTCAAGCAGACAGTCAAATAAGTGGGTTATGTTTGCCCCTAAGTAAGTAAAAAATTTAGGGATTCGGGAAAAGGTTTTATCTAGTTCCTTTTCATTTCACCTTCCACAAAACCACCAAGGTGCCATGTCTAACAGGACAGAATGTACCCTGTTCCTTCACTAACGAAACAGGAAACTGGGCAGGTGTTGACAGATTATCATTTAATTCTGTGCTTTTCCAGTTGATAAATTTAGTAGACAGAAGCATGTACATTATTTGTAATGCTTTTGACCTTCAGAAAAAGCAGGGTTTCTTGGGTCTTTGCCAACTTATTAAATCATCAACACCTAAGTAGAATAAAATGAATAAAGTAAATAGATCTCTGTGTAGATAAATGATTATAGTGCTTTATGAACCAATATTATAACGAATACAACTCTGTGTTCTTGATGTTTTTAATACAATAAACAAGTGCACAGTAGTGACACAATCCTAATTCTTATTAAATGAAACTAGATAAACATCTGCCACTTTCATAATGTCAACTACAATCCAGTCTCTTGCCTTTGTTATAATTGACCTATTTTTTCTGTCCTTCCTTATCTGCTTTCCTGCTATCTATGAGTCAACATTTAACTGTATCAATCACAAGCTGATCATTCCTAGCTGCAGTAATTCTGTAACCTTTATTTTCTTAACTTCTAAATTGAAGTTATAAAGTAATTACCAAAAATCTACAGTTATATTCTGAAAGTGGTAGAATTAGCATTTGCAGTCTGTGGGTCAGCAGATTGCTCTGATGGATTTTCTTGCTCAGCCAAAAAACAAAACAAAACCAGAATTAATTAGTTTATAACTACAGAATACAACGCACAGTCATTCTCTCAGGGAGCTCAGTTCCATAATAAAGAGAACGTTCTGATTAGAATATAATAATAGCTATTTTTTAATGAGAATTCCTGGTGCAATAGGCACTTACGAAGCACTTCATGCATTTCTTGTTATGTTATGCCTCTGTATGGGTGGAAAGGGAGTGTGATGGCTATCAATCGTACCCCACCCCCAGATGTTACTCTAACCATGTCCTGAAATGGCTGGTTTGACTTATTTAAGTATTGGAATGAATGAAATGGAATTCATGTCCATTTAGCTCCATGGCTGCCAGATAATGAGCTAGATGTTGTGTGTGTCCAGAAACTCATGTGATCATCATGAAAGTCCTGCAAATAAACCTATGTCATGGAAGAAAGGATCGATGTTTGGAAAGAAACAGAAATGTTTCCAAACAAATAGTCCATGGTGTTTCTTTTTTTAATTTTTTTTTAACGTTTATTTATTTTTGAGACAGAGAGAGACAGAGCATGAACGGGGGAGGGGCAGAGAGAGAGGGAGACACAGAATCTGCAACAGGCTCCAGGCTCTGAGTGGTCAGCACAGAGCCCGGCGCGGGGCTCGAACTCACGGACCGCGAGATCGTGACCTGAGCCGAAGTCAGACGCTCAACCGACTGAGCCACCCAGGCGCCCCTGTCCATGGTGTTTCAATTGCACTGTTAGGTCACTTTAAATATTCTTGGTGAAGGTTAACTTTACAAGAATACACTCTGGCACTTGTGGGCAAATACGGGCTGTCCCACACCTGCTCCCCAGGCCAGTATACTGGTCAAGACAGTATGAGGGTCACACAACAAGCCATGGCCAACGGGTCACAGTGGAAGAGTTCCTTTCTGGGCAGTCTGCTCCAGGACTCTTCCTGCAAGTGGAGAGGAAAGACTAAGAAAATCTTCTCTGTTTTGTGAACTGGTTTTAACAGAAAGTGTCATAGGTCAACTACATGGAGAATGCTCAAAATCCCGCAGCCAGACTTCAGTAAACAAACAAAATATGCAATGAGAGTGATGCTTTGGAAATTTGTCTCTGGCACAGTTTTTTCCCCTAATACATCATGGCACCTGGAATCCTTCTTCTGTTCAGGCTAAACCATGACATATAGCACCTGTAGAAGGAGATAGTGGCTTTGGCCAGCATAAGCTCCCGTTTTGAGTGAATCATGAGATAGTTAAGCTTAAAAGTCAGATTTACTTGATAAAGAAAGTGATTGTCTAAATTTCCAAATCTCCCATTTATAGATTGGTGGGTAAGCCTGGTAAACTAGGAACACAGGATTTTACCAGAGGTGCTAGATGGAGATAAGGGGAGATGTGGTGTCATCAAGGTTAGCGTGTACGCTGAGAGAAAGGGCTAGTTCTGATGGCCGGGATGTGGTATTCAATGGTGAGGAGAGAGTAAGTGAAAGTTCCTTTTGGTTCCCTTGTCTCTGAGGGTCTTATCCCAGAGAGGATAGAAACTTCTTCAACAGAAACCCAAAACTGGGGTGCCTGGGTGGCTCGGTCAGTTCAGTTGTCTGACTCTTGATATTGACTAAGGTCATGATCTTTTGGTCATCAGATAAAGGCCTGAGTCCAGTTCTGCATTGACAGCGGTGAGCCTGCTTGGGATTCTTTCTCCTCCTCTCTCTCTCTCTGCCCCTCCCTCAAAAAAAAAAAAAAAAAAAAACAAAAAAACTCCTAGACACATGGAGGGAACTTCTGAGAACATCTGGCTAATGTCAAGCTTCTGGAACACGGCCCTGGAGGAACACCACCAACAGTGGAGACATCAGCACAGACCAGCCCAAACCAGCCCTGACTGTCCCCACGGGCTGCACAGGTAGGAGACCCATAACGCTTCTTAGCATCTCTGAGAGGGTCAGGGCTCTGAGGGGACCACAGGAGGCAGCAGCCAGGCTTTGGATGAGAAGCTGAGGTGGGAGCTTTGCATCCCAAGGTGTGCTGTGAGTCAGTAGGGATGGGTTCGAGGCTGGTAACTGCACAGAACAATTCAGAGGGAGAGGCTGAATCCAGAGGGCGGGGCTGAGGGCTAGAAGAGGGTGGCAGGGAGACTGTGAGAACTAACTCTCCTCCCGGGTGCAGTGATGGCAGCAGGAGGCAGGGAGACAGAAGGATGAGGAAGGGGACAAAGGAGACAGAACTAGCCTGAAAGGGGCTGTTCTAAACCAGAGAAAAAAAATTTTTTTTTAATTTTTAGC